ATGCTGGGAACAGGAACAAGAGGCCACAAGCCAGGAAGGGCAGGAACTGGTTTTCTTGCTGAAGAAAGCACAGAGGGGAATTATACCCTTACAAGTTAGTGTCAGAATTCACTCAGGAAAACTAAGGACACACCCTGACAGACTGGAACAAAACAAGATGTTTATTACAGATTCAGATTTTGACTGCTTATTAGTGTCCCAGGAAATCAATGACTACTGAAACGAATGAGGAACCAGAACTGTTTCTACTGCACTGTCCTTGCAGAGTGAGACTGAATATTGAATTGGGTCAGATTATTAACTTCACTCTCCCTTGCATGTAGCGGTAAATTTGTAAGAAACTAACATAATTTGACATGACATTTCCAGGGGAAAAAAAAAAAAAGCACTCATCTCAGGATGTCAGTTGCCAGCTGTTGAATTGTACTTTGAAAACAGGAAATAAGAGTGAATGAAGTGATCATTGCTGCTGTGCAGTACTTTCTAGAACTAAAGTCAATGTCATCAAAAGCCTAAACAGGCTCTTTCAGTGCTAACATGTCAGAAATATTCTCAGGTCTGATAAAATACTTCACGGATAAGAAGAGGCCTTTTATGCATGTTCAGAAGTGCTCAACAATATTTAAACAGAACGGAAAACCTCAGTTTAGGTAGCTGGTAAGACTTCAGTACTGGGTTCTAAGCAGCTCAGTGGAGCTGGGAAACACAACTCCTGTCCATACCTGCTTAGAGACACAGGCATCTCACTGCTGGAAGAGTGCCACTCACAAGTTGGCTTTATGGATTTAAAAGAAAATTGTGGAGAAGTATACATCAGTGAGTGTAGACGCTACCACTGCTCCCTCCCATGCTTTCTGATTTGGTGGGATGACAAGTAGTGCATGAAACACTTAGTGAGTCTTTTGGCTAGCCAGATAATGATTTTTCACAAAACCTTCAAGAACTTAATATTTTTCTAGCCCTTTGACAAATTTGGCTGAAACCAGCTTAAAAAATATCACTGACATGAAGCAAAATCATCTCAGTGATTAAATCATTAATCACATCTTTAGGAAACCAAACAGAAAATAATATCTCACTATTAACTTCAAAGCCAAAGAGGCTGTGTCTCAAGTCTTTCACTAGGTAGGTAAGCTTTTCTGTCAATCACTGCAGGGTCAAGTTCTCCTCTTGTGTCCTGTGGCTAAGTTGACAGACTGGAAGACCTCAGCCACTGCATGCCGCTGGTCAGTGGTTTAGCTTAGATTCACCGTAAGAGGCTATGAAAGCTACAGCAGGGCTTTGTATCAGAGCAGCTAACTCACTTCTGTTAACCATGCAACATGTACAGTAATCTGTGGCAGAACAACAAGGCAGACTGCTGGGACAGCAATGTCTTAACCTGCCAAAGCACAATTCACAAGCACCTTCTGTTAAAGCTCCTAGATACTTAAATGTGGCAGCAAGGTATCTGTTTCCACCTCAAGAGGACATTTTTATCCACTAGATAACCAAGAATTATTGTTAATTATGCCTTCATTTTAGCATGTCCTGGTTTCATGAGGACAGTTATAACAAATAAAATATTACCAACTCTGAGACTAGGAATTCAGATTCACTGTGATCATCTAGAGTAGAGGTCACAGAATTGCCTGACATGAAGTCATTCCTTTTTGAATTATATTACCACTTTCAGAAAAATTCTATTCCTGATTGGACTAAATCAATCAGATTTAAAAAAAAAAAAAAAAATCAGCAATGCAGAACCACTGTTTTGCATGTTGTTCAGTAAGGAGAGGAAGTACAGTATTTGTGACCAATGTCCCTAACCCATGCCTAATGTGAAAATCACGTTGGTCACTGTTTTCTTATGGTATCTGATTGTTTCAGCAAGTTTGCAGATGACACCAAGCTGACAGGCTTAAGGTAAGGGTTGCCATTCAGAGGGACCTTGACAGGCTTGAGAGGTGGGCCCATGTGAACTTCATGAGGTTCAACAAGGCCAAGGGCAAGGTCCTGCACCTGGGTCAGGGCAACCCCCTGTATCAATACAGGCTGGGGGATGAAGGGATTGAAAGCAGAGAAGGACTTTGGGGTAGTGGTGGATGAAAAGCTGGACACGAGCTGGCAATGTGCACCTGCTGCCCAGAAAGCCAATTGTATCCTGGGCTGCATCAAAAGAAGGGTGGCCAGCAGGTCGAGGGAGGTGATTCTGCCCTTCTACTCCACTCTTGGGAGAACACACCTGGAGTACTGCATCCCGCTCTGCGGCCCCCAGCACAGGAAAGACATGGACCTGTTAGAGTGAGTCCAGAGGAGGGCCACGAAAGTGGTCAGAGGGCTGAACACCTCTGCTAGGAGGAAAGACTGACACTTGCAGTTGTTCAGCCTGGAGAAAAAAAGGCTCCAGGGAGACCTTACTGTGGCCTTTCAATACTTAAAGGGAGCTTATAAGAAAATCATAGAGATGCTTTTTACCAGGGCCTGTAGTGACAGGACAAGGGGTAATGGCTTTAAACAAAAAGAGAAGAGATTTAGATTGGATTTAAAGAAGAAATTCTTTACTGTGAGGGTAGTGAGACCCTGAAACAGGTTGCCCAGAGAAGCTGTGGATGCCCCATCCCTGGAAACATTCAAGGTCAGGTTGGATGGGGCTTTGAGCAACCTGATCCAGTGAAAGATGTCCCTGCCCATGGCAGGGGGGTTGGACTAGGTGGTCTCTTTCAGCCCTAAACATTCTGTGATTCAGTAACAACGTCTAGGGACACCTGAAATGACCAAGTTTTCCATATAATCAGTTAGTGTTTTATAGACAGAATGATTTCTCATGTAGCTATTCGAGTTCTCCTGTGTCCCCAGGCACAAATAACATGTCACAAACATTAAAGGTTTCTTCTTCACTTACGTAATCAAAATCTGAACTAGTTCCATTTGACTTAAACTTCTGTCCAGGCAGCTGTCCCTGAGCTGCAAATCACTTGACTTTATCAGCAACATAGAGCAACAGATCTCCACTGATTTACTAGCTTGACTGTCAGCAACAATCTGATCAGCGTCCTCTGCAAGACCAATTACTTCTGTATGTTAAGTATCACTTTACTCAAAGTGCTGACCTTTATGCACGTGTAAGTTAGGCTTGAGGCAATCTTCTTTATGTGGAAAACAGAATTTTGAATGACAATCCAAAGCTACTGAGGGTGAATCTACTTAAACTTAATGTTAACAATTTGTTAGTTTTGCTATAAACTTAAACAGAGCACTAATACACCATCTGTTTTAGAGATATGCCTAAGCATAATGACAAAAAAACCTAATTTCTGTAAAGCAAACTGAGTGTAAATTATCAAAGGAAGAATCCTGCACTCCTGCAAGTCTGTACACTTCTCCAGAAGCTGAGTGGAGACATCTGCTTGTGCCTTAGCTTTTTCTTACAGTTATTCCCCCCCCCGCAACTACCAAGACTGCAATGATTCATGCCTCTTCCCTAACACTTGGGCATTTGGCAGCCCTTTTATGACCTCCTGTAATTTAGTGAAGATGTCACACATCAGGCTGTCCTGCACAAGTGACTTGCAACTGTGCCTTCTGGACACCAGACGTAACCACTCTCTCTGCTATTCCCAAGTAAGGAGGAGCTAGAAGAAGCAGGCAGGCCACAACAGCTGTAACAAGCAGAGCAAGAAAGGCAGATAAGAGAGGTGTGCAGGTCTCGCGTTTCTCTACAGCTGGTGCTAGCCTCATTCTGCTTTTTCTCCAGTCATGGTCCCAGTTTATCCTCCTGGTGTACGTAACTGCTCTATTCCCCTCTTCTCACAATCTTTCAAATATGGTATGTACTGCCTCCACTTACAGGGTCAGACAATCTGGAAATTGTGCACTCAGAACAGAGCCTCTGCCAGCATTCAAGTGTTAAATACGCAGGGCTATTGCACACTTTGCCTACCTGAATTAAGGCTGGTTACTTTGCACATGCTCCTCCAGCTGGGAAGCAAACAGCAGGACACTACCAATATGATCACAAATGAGTAATACACAAGATCAGGACGCTTATGTGCGGCTGTCTCACTATGAACCTCATCACCTTTCACAAGAGCTACTGCAAAAACGCAGACCCTGCGTGCTCAGAAGCAAAACCTAATGGGCCTGTGAGCATGAGGATCATCTCCCACCATGCAGGTCCCCCAGAAAGTGCTGCCCAGGAGGACCCCGTGCCTGCAGCAGGGAGCCTTAACAGAGTGAGAGCTTCAGGCACGACAGACGTTTTCTGTGGCAGCTTACTTGTACCATTAGGGGCCCAGCTTAGACAAGCCATACTGGCGAAAGCTCCACAACGCGCCCAGCTCGCTGGCGTAAACACGCTGCACACACGGCAGCCCTCTTGCCACAGGACAACAGGTACAAGGGTAAACTTCCCACCACAGCCGCTTCAGCACCAAAACCCGCGGCGCCACCGCCCCAGGGCACTGAGCACCCACCGCGAGCGGCAGCTCCCTTACGCTCCGGCCGGCGGCGGCACCGAGAGGAAGGCGGCACTCGCTCGGCGCCCCGCCCGCGCTCAACGGCCTGGCGGCGGCACTGCGCATGCCAGTGCACGGCATGCAGTGCACGCAGGCCCCGCCCCGCCCCTTCTCCCCGGGCTGCTTCCATCGCCGTGTTCGCGCAGGTGGTTCGGGGCGGTGTTGTCCCAGACCTCGACGTCTTGCTCCTGTTCGGAATTCCATCTGGTGAAGGGATGGAGGTTGTAGCCTCCCGTCTGTGGAAGACCCGGTACGCTCTTCTGCGCTGCGGGAGGAGCTGGCTCACGGCCTGTGTCGCGTTCGCCCGCCCCCCCCTCCCCCGCGGGCTCATTGGTTCATCCCTCTTGAGGCATGCGGGGAGCGGCAGGGGTCGCTGGTCTCTTCCTCGGCGCGCGCGGAGGCCGTTGGGCGGCGGTTGGGGGCGCGGGGCCGGCAGGCGCGCGCGGCGGGGCTCGGGTGAGCCCGCCCGTCGCCGGACCGAGGACTTGCCCGCCGGGGCGCGGGAAGGGGCCGAGGCGCCTTAACGGTCCAGAGCCTGTCGGGTCTCTGCTGGCGGCGGCTGACCGGGTCAGGGGGCTCGCTGAAGAGGTAGGCCAGGCTGTAGCGGGCGGGGCGGGCTGGTCCGGTAACGGGAGTCGGCGGCGGGCCTTGAAACGTCCTCCCCGAAAGCCTAGTGCTGCTCTCCCCGCTCTGGGAGGTGCCGCGGGCACGGGAGCTGGGAGGGCTTGGGGCTGGGAGGGCTTGGCTGGGCCTGGAGTGTCAGTTTGTGAGGGGAACAGCCGTGCCGCTTTAGCATGCGAACGACCTTTCCTTCCCCGCTCCTTATCTTGTCTCCATGAAACAACGCATTGAGTGAATCGGTGGTCCTTCCTCCTCTGGAGTTTCTAGTTTTGAAGGCTGCTATGTAGGCTTCTCACTGCCGCTTGGGAGAACTTTCCAAAAGCTCACGTTTTGGAAGAACGAGTTTTCTAGTTGCTTTATGTAGTTGGTTTATACTGAACTCTTTTGGGCACGCTTTTGCCATGTGGCCAGCAGTGCATGGTCTTAAATGCACCATATCCCTCGACAGAAGAACCACGCGTTTTAAAGGAACACCTTTTCAGTAATGTGTGAAAGGTGGCTGGGGCCGTCGTACACAGCCACCGGTGCCTGGCTTTCTGAAATGTTGATGGGTTTCCGCATAATTCGTGGTTGCTGTAGCGGCCATGGGAACTTGTGTAATAGAGTAACCCTTAATCTTAAAATGTGCTGATAGGGATGATTGGGGCTTTTTTTTTTTTTTTTTTGAGGGTGGGGGGGATATAGAGTCTGCTGTCTGTTCTTGGAAATCAGGGAACTATTTCAGGTATTTCTTGTTAGGCTCCTTGTGCTGTTTGTGTATCTCAGTCGCTCTTCCAAGTGAACGTGTGTTCTCCCATTTTATTTCAGATGAAAGCAATGGAAGTCTGTCAATGGCCAGAGCAGGCACCAGCATGACCACAAGATGTCCCAAGAGCATGGTGTGCTTGGTTTTTCTTATTAAATGCTTACTCTTTATAAAATGTTACTTACTTGTGAATTCGCTAGGTATTTGCCTATTGATGAATTAATCTTTTTCACATGCTGTTAATTTAATTTTGCAGAGGTGATCAGTTCTAATACTTAAATTTTTGCCTTTGTGTTGCCCGTTCATTCCTGTCCAGAATGAATGTGGTGTCAAAAAAGGCAAACAGGAATTCTTGCTTAAACTGTTTAAGGAGCTGGTTATTTACCTTTCTCCTCCCTGTTTTTGCAAGGACAAAAAAAATCTAGAAATTGTATGGTTGAGCAGTTACATGGTAGACTTTGTGCTTCAGTCTTTTTAAATGAAGAATCTGACAGTTAGTATAAGAGGAAAAACTAAAATTATAACGGCCACTTCTAGCATTGTTTAGCTGTCCTGTCTATTGTGATAAGATCTTACATCTGTGCTGCAAGTAATTAGTACATAACATTTCAGACTCCTGCAGTGGCCTCTAGTTTTTCTATTGCAAAAAGATCTCTACAGCTTCAGAATACTCAGCTACAGAAAAGATTAAAATCTTCTTTAATGGGGAAAAAACATGTTCTGCCTTTGTGCATTTACCTTTTTGTTATTTATGTCTGGTATTGGAAAGGTATAAAGAGAATCTCTCTGCAGGACTCTTTGATTTGGGTAATAATGTATTCTACTCTTTTGCTGTACACAGAACAGTCTTTCCTTCATACACCTTTGAAAATGTAAAGTATATTTTAATATTGCTGTTGCAGGCAGCTCGCACCTTGGGGACTGTGGCGCCTGTTCCTACCAGAATGCTTAACGCTACGAACAGTTCTTTCAGAGTTCTAGTGTGTTTTGCTGAAAGTTCAGAAGCTCACAGAGATAGCCCGATGTGGAGAAAGCCTCTAAGCATGAGAAGGGCATGTAGGAAAAAGTTACAAAGTACTGATTGCCCAGCTGTCCTGCAACTTCCTTCATTAGGTGAGTAACAATAATTTCTTGTGCAGCTGTGTCCCTCAGCCTTGTCTTACAGTGAAGCAGACTTTCTGTTGAAAAAGAAGTTTGGCAGAATGACTTTAGAGCAGAAATTGGAACTGAAACATTGAGAGTGAGATCAGCCTGGTGACAATGTTCTCATCAACAAAAGCAAAGTAAAAGGTTTGGTGTGAGTGGCTTATTAAAAGCAGTGCATGGCTGCTAGTGTGTCCCAGAGGCGTCTGTGCTTTTCTGTGTTTGGTTTTGGGGGGTGATACTGTGGAGCAGTTCAGAATACAAGGACTGAATCAAAGACTGCTGAAATGTGACAGCTCAGAATCTTACATGCAATATGCTGATTCACTGTAGGGTCTTGGAAAAGTCAACACTATTGGAAGGTTGAGTAGTGCAAGTCAGCATGAAATTCAGTGGTACAAACAAGGCACTAATAAAAATTGCGTGTATTATGAAAGATATTTTCAGTGCTGAAACTGTGGTTTGTGTAACCTACATACCCAAGGGCATGACAAATAATCCAAGTCTTTGAAGCCAGGACCTTCTCGGTCAATATTGGAAATGTGATCTAAGAATGATCCAGTACAGAGAAATCGTCATCATACCTTACCTGCATTTCAGGGGATGCAAACCATACTGAGTAAACTATTTGACAGCTTACTGACAGCCTATTAAGTATTAGAGCTGAGTCAATTTATAGAGACTATCAAGGCTATAGAGACTGAAGACTATATTGAAGGTGAAATTCCGAGTGCAAACTTAAGTTTTAAGTAACTGAAGACATTACTGATTGTCTTGTAAATTAGAAAGGGTCACAATATTACACCGCATGCTACAGCGTGTTGTTCCCATTGAATACGTGCAGTATTTGGTGAAAGAAAAAAATGCTGGAGGTTCTTTTTAGCAGCAGCAGCTGATTTTTATGACTGTAAATGGGCTAGTTGCTCAGACATAGGAAAGTACAGCAGTGATGAAAGGTAGATTGAATGGAGTAGAAAACCAATAAAAGATGTCCTGCTTGCACATCTTGTGCAATTGTGCCTCCTTTCAACCTCATAATGCATTATGTTCTAGGACACAAAGAATCAAAAGTGTCTTTTGCATATTTGTTTGTGTTATTGTTTTTGTTGTTTCACTGATGCATCCAGCTCTCCTAGAGACATAGTGAAGAGGAGGGTACTGAGGCAGAGTGCTGCACAGTGGTATTTCCACGGAAAAATTATAAATACTGTTCAAGAAAACTTGGAAGAGGTAACAGTTATGGAGAAGTTTTGGGAAGAATTGGGGTGGCATTTGGCACCCAATAATGAGTCTTTTGGATTACTCAGTCTTTTGAACAATAAACAGTTTTGTTGCCGCCTTTTTTTATTTTTTCACTGTGCTAGAAATCCATAATACTGTACAAACTACGGCAGAAGAAAAATATAGATTGTATAATTGTGTGGTGTTTGCAGGAGCAGCTTTCAAAATATGATTGCAGCTCTGGGAAAGCAGACTGCTTATTTGGCAGCTGTTCCCGAGACAACATGACAAATTCTTAAGCGAAGCTGTGCAAACTGAGCTGTGTCAAGTTCTGAAGGAAGTTTGTGATCCAGTAGTTGTCCATGCTGAAGACAGATTCAGAAAGTGATTTCCCAGCTGCTACCAGACTGGTTGATCTGGATTTGTTTAAAGAATATATGCCATTTCCTGATGAGAAATTACTTAAGTAACTTTTGGGGAAAAATTAAACTGAAGATGGTTCAGTATTTTGCCTGAATACACACATGTTCATAGAAAAGTCAATGTGAGTGATGCAAGATCCACTACATCACTGTTGGTTTTCTTGCAGGAAAGAATGTAACAGAAGTCTTCTGTGAAGTGATGAAATTCCTTCAAGTTTGTCACAGTGCCCTTGAAAATACTAGAATCGGAAAGGTTCATGCATTGAAATGTGAAAATCTGCTTGAGCAACATGAAAAACACAGATGCAGTTATTGCTTTACCAGTGCTGTCGATAAAAAATGAACTAGTGAAATCCATCCCAGACCTTCAGCACCATAGGCACTGGGGGTTTTTGCAAGGCTGAATAGAAGGATGGGCACCCTTTATATGAACCTGCCAGACACTGGGAAGAGAAATGTATGTGTAATCCACTGTGAGTAATGTATCTAATAACAGGGCTGCTACTTGTTTTTCAACATAAAATTACTAATCTCGTCTATTATTGGCTTACTATTCTTTTAAACTGTTGCATGCACATCTGTGCTTTATACATGAGCTGCTACTACAAAACTTACTATTGATTCCCACCAGCTAGAAAGTGTTAGTACTGCCATCAACTTGTAGTTAGAATCTGAAACCTTGCTTAGATGGGCAAAGAGCCTCTCTTGCATGTAAGCTCTTCAAAAATTAGTTTTTCAGACTTTGGCTTTTAACGTTTTTCCAAAGGGATGAGGGGGAAGCTGATCCTTGTAACTTTGCACCAGTCTCAGGAATCTAGAGGATGTTACTGAAGACAGCTGTGTGCTACATGTGTCCAATCTCACATTGTGTTTACTTTTTTCCCCTAAGGAAGAATTGTTATAACAAGCCTGAGACCAGCGGGAATCTCTGCAGGACCACTCCCTAAGAAACAAACTGTTAAAAAGATGAAATGTTAAGGCTGCATGTAGTAGCACAAGGTGCTTCTAACTGTATTGGGGCAGTATCTGGTAATGTTTATGTAGACAAAAAATAAAGATTTATGTTTCTGTTCTAAGAATTTCTGTCTTTCCCAAGCTATAACAGCAGTTGCTTCTGACAGTTCTGAGTTCCTCTACATTGTTTTTGGGATACCAATTCACCCCTTTGGACTAAATAAAACCTAGAAGCTATTAAGTAGGTGGGAGGTCATCACTGAAACCATGGTCTTCTGTAGTTATCAGAGATTGAGTTAGCGGAGATTTGTATTGTAGTGGGGAAAAGTAGAAATTAAAATTCAGCAAACCTGTGTTTAAAAATAGCAGGAAAGGTCTCCAACATGGAAAACTGCAAGTTTCGTTTATTATTACCTTAATCAGCTGCATAATACAGTACTTCAACTAAACTTGAAGTAGAGTGAAATACTGTAGGGATAACAACTGGAATTCCTGGTTGTTTTTTTAGAAAGACTTATGATAAATTAATTTTATCAGAAGAGCAAATGCTGGAATTACGTATCTTGCAATGTCTGATTTTTTCAGTACTGAATGTAAGTAAATTATTAACGCAAAGTCTAAGCATAAGTTAGTTTTGGGGTTGTAGAGAGGGAAGGAGGTTTAGACAAGAGAATTAAATTTTAGTGATCCAACATGTAATTTATTGGATGCACTTGAAAGTTTAGGGTTTCTGTTAGGGATTATATTCCCTGAAGATACCATCTGTTCAGGAGTTTTGCTCACGGGTCTTTGTTCTTAAAGTGCAAGACTGGCAGGAATAGCTTTTAAGACTTCTTTTTTTTTTTAAACTCTTGACAGTGACAGCTAATGCCAAGTTTTAATGACTGCTGTCTAAAATGTTAATTCCCTTTCAACAAGAAAAATTTTAGAATCTTAAGCTTCACTGTGTAATACCTGCTTCATAGTGTAGAAGAAAGAAAAAATGAGGGAGAGGAATAGGTCCATGTAAGGGGCACTGATTACTAAAACAGTAATGCTGGTGAACGTTAAGTGTGGTGTTAAGCATTAGGACTGCCTTTTAGTTTTTAAGAGTTGCTAACTGGACTGTACCCTTGAAAAAAACTCAAGACTCCTTAACTATTTTTTTTCCCCTTCCTCTGTTTTACATGAACAAAATGTCTGACAAGACTGTTGAAGTTGATAGTATTAAAAAGTAGAAGGGGAGGACAGATTCTCAAGGTGGTCTAGGGGAGCAAGAGAACAAAGCTTTGTGCACTGGCTTGGTGTTGCACCAACCCTCCTTTCTGTTACTTATCTCCAGTGCTCTGTATTAAAGGCTGCAAATCAGAACTCTTGAGAGGTATGCACAGAAAGAAAATTGGCTTGTTCCAGATTTCTCTTTAACCTTTTAGCACACTGCATCTGAGTGGACTAAGGCTAGCTGTATTAAATGAAAACAGTTTATCAGTGGATGACCTGTGGAGGCATTCTTGAATGTCAAATTGTTACCTCTTTTCCCTAGCAAAGGGGCTCATTTGTAGTAAATACAATGGTGGTATTTTATGAAGAATGTCAATTACTTTCTGATATTCTCACTGAGGAAATAACTGTATAGTCCTAGCTATTTTTGAGATTTTAACATTGAGTAAGGTGTATCATTTAATTGGTGACCAGCTGGGAGGGCAGTGGTTTTCTTCCACTCTTGTATTGGGTCTGGTTGAGATGGAGTTAATTTTCCCTGTAGCAGCCCTCATAGTGCTGTGCTCTGCGTTGGTAGCTAGAAAGGTGTTGATAACACACCAGTGTTTTGGCTGCTGCATCAGAGCTGTCTCTCCAACGTTTGCCGCTTGCCCAGCAGGCTGGGGGTGGGTGAGATCTTGGGAGGGGACACAGCTGGGACAGCTGACCCAAACTGACCAAAGGGATATTCCATACCATATGGTGTCTGCTCAGCAATAAAAGCTAAGCAGGGAGCGGGGGGGGGCATTTGTTATTACAACATTTGTCTTCTGGAGCAACTGATAGGTGTACTGAAGCCCTGCTTCCAAGGAAGTGGCTGGACATCAGCTGCTGATGGGGAGTAGGGAATAAATCTTGTTTTCCTTTCCTTCTGTGCATGGCCTTTGCTTTTGCTTTATTAAACTGCCTTTATTTTGACCCACAATTTTTTTTTTCCATCTTATTTCCTCTCCCTCACTGTCCTGCTGAGCAGGGGAGTGACAGGGCGGCTTGGTGGGTACCTGGCATCCAGCCAAGGGCAACCCACTGCAACTCCTATCCAGGAGACAAATACAGGAGAGAAATTAAAACAGGCACATTAAGGAGAGCGCATGTGCCACACTGGCTTTGCATCTGTATGTTTGGTTTTGACAGCTTATGTAGCCTGCTGTTCTTTTCTGGTGATGTTTAGGTAAGAGAGGAAACTGTAGTATGGATATGCACTGGAAGTATAAAACTTAGGCTGGCAACTTTCTGTTACCAGGAAAAATACTTAATCTGAAGAAGCAGTATCCTCAAGTGGATTTTAATTGGTATGACACCTGTTTTTACCAGATGGTGTTGTCAAATGAATCTGTGTTTCTGAAGGCTTTGCTCCTTTGTGTAATGTAAATAAGACACACAGGCAACCATGGAATGCCCTAAAAATTCAAGTTTTACTTGACTTTTAAATAACCTGGACACAAGTATTGACACAGCCATCTATCAAACTCAATTTAAAATAAAGCACACAGTTGCTTCATGAATACTTAATGTACATAGAACATAAGCATCACATCAATATGTTTATGTATGTTGTTTTTAAACATCTTTCTAGGGAGCTTTGAATTAAACAGGCTTTCCCCAAAGAAAATGTGCTATCTATTCAGTTCAATATACACTTGTATAAAGATGATTAATTTGGCAACTTAAATGGTAGTGATTTTTTTTTCCCCAACTAACATCTTCCAATATAATGAGCTCAATTAGAATACAAGTTGCAAGATTAGGTAGATGGGCAAGAAGTGCATTGTAGAAAACCGCAGGTCAAGGTTAGCTCCTAATGAAAGAAAACAGCAGCTAACAAGCACAGGGACCAATATGGGATATATAAAAATGCTTTTGTGGTGTGGTTAGCAAGCCCTCTTTTTTGTAAAAAATACATGTTTTGCAAAGAGGTATGTCTGTGTTGTTGGTGTTGCTAATTAGTGAGCGAGTTCCGTAACTTACTTATTATTAGCACTTACAGAAGTCTCAGAAGAGGTAAATGCAGAGGCACAAAGTTAAAATTGTTGGCCTGAGATAAGTTCAGCAGACTAGAAGCAGAATTAGGATGAGAATATCTCCAATATCAGTCCTTTGTCCATGTGAGGACACATCTGTATGGCATCCAACCCCAGGGTAAACCTTGCCTGACACAGTTATACATCTCCTGTTTTTCGCCCGACTCATCAGGAGGTACAAGGACTATGGACCGACATCCAAACTCCAGGTTTGAAAATGTAACTGCCTCTAGGCAGTGAGAGTCCCAAGAAAGCCAGGGAAGGGTAGCAACAGTGGAAAGGGCAAGGTGTAGCTCAGAGCTCAAAGAGGCCAGCCACTTAAGAGATGTTGTAGGGCCAGTTTAGGGCTACAGAACATAGCTGTGACACAGTAAGTGTTTTCACTGATTCATCACTTGTAGGTCCCTCTCACACAAAAATAACACGGTCACAAAAAAAGGTGCCTTTCCTCAAGTGACTGAGGAAAAGAAGCCTAAAGGGAAAGGAGGCTTGCATATGGCAGTAGTTTATTTTTCTGTACTATTAGCTGACACTGGTGTCCTTGTCCAAGTTTTCCCTTGTTCTGGCACTGACACTTAACATGTAATACAGGTGTTAAGCTTAGTCTTTCTTTTGCAGATACAAAACTGTATCGTAGTGCCCCAGACTGAGCATTAGACTTGCTAAAACCTGCTTCCTACATAGTCTCATTGGACAGAAGACCACTAACTGAAATCCAGGTGTCTTTCTGTAAATGTCTCATTTAAACGTAAAAAAGTTGGCTTGATTATGAAACGACTCTCCTGTGACTTGAGAACTGAAAGCTATCACTATTAGATTAGATACAGCCTATTTTCTGATGTAGTGGGCTAAGTAAAATACCACACACTTGGCTGTTGGTATCCACAAAAGCCCACAGGCAGATGACAACCTACAGTAAAACAGGAGGTTGGATATAAACCTTAATAGTTTTCTTCTTGATCAATATTTGAGGATTGGCAAGATACAAACACTATCTACAGATAATTCTCAAATAATAACAACACAAATCCTCCTCAAGTAGTAGATACATTCTACTCACCTGTGCCGGCGTAAGGAATGCAGAATAATGGTAATGATTTAGAAAGCAACAAACTACAAGCAAGTGCATAATGCTCCAGCTTGGAACACCTTCTTGAAGAAATAAGGAGTGGCTTTCATTGCAGACACTGTAACCAGTACTTCGGTGGTTTGTCATATCTCAGTAGTCTTCCAAAAGACTGTGATGCCCTAGATTAATCTGTATCATCACAATCTTTGCCACAGTGATGGGCTTTTTTGTGTTTGGGTTTTTTTGCTTTTGTTTTGTTTTTTTTTGTTTCTTAACTGGTGCTTGTAAGAATACTATACAAGGTCGTAAGTAGATCCTAAAGGATCACTTTAAATTGAAGCAATGACAATGAAACCATTTAACAGACTTACAAAACAATTTAAGCAAATACTTTAAGCCAAGCCCAACAATGTCCTAGAATGAAATCCATAGTAAATTCAGCAAATGCTGAAGAACCTCCATGAAAACAGAATTCTAACAGGGTTCTAAGCTCTTTCCTTCCCTTCGATTTGTTCACTGAGACTGAAGAAGCAGAACTGTCCAAAATAAGTGGTCAAAGAACAATATTTAATTAAGTGAATCTGCCTTCCTTGGCACGATGCAGCATCTTCCAACATGCAGACCAATCCATAACAGTGATGGGAATATACAAACTGTAAGGCTACCACCCTGGCTAGTAGCATCTA